GGATTAGATTCTTTGAGCATTCATTATACACTTCTAATGCAACATTTTCAATTATTTTTCTGGTTGTTTGATTGCTTGTGATCATTATATCAATGCATTATCTCCTTTATGAGGTATAGCAATAGCATTGTCAAATGTTTCTTTTATTATTTTCTTTCTTGCAAATTAAACCTTATGAATTTGGCAACTCATAAGGGCCGTAGAAATAGGGGGACTGATCAGTATCTATAAATTAGCACTCTGAAAAGCAAGAAAAATATAGAATCAGATAAGGATGCTTTTCTTTTTTATTGAAAAATTGTATAAATTTACATTATTATCCATAATTTATCATTAATTTCACAAAAGGTTTATTAACTGGGGTTACTGAAGTTGGTTCTTAAAAGTTTTCAGTACATTCCAAGTGGAATCATTTGAAAGCATTGATATATGTATTTACAGACATAGGTTACTAATATGTAGGATGTTCGTTCCTATCATGTGCATTGTGCATCGATTAATAATGTTTTAGGGATGCCTGGACATGGGTCACGACCAAAATCTTGTTCCGGGAGGCGGATGGAACATTTCTCTTTCCCCAGACAAGCCTATAAAGATTGTTGCCGTTGTGATAAATTATCAGTACTAGAGATAGCATAAGAAGCTTTGATCCACAAAAATTAAAGTCACATTGGAAGAATGGAAGTTCACCTTTTCAACAATGGCTCTCGAATTAGATAGATGACAGTTTCCAATGGCATAGTTCTTGCAATCACCGGATGGAGTTCCAAAGCTTGAAAACAGGATCCTGGAAATATTTCTCTCTGGAGGACAATGGAGCTGAACCATAGGCGTTCGAGCAAGATCCTTGTTATAGTTCACTCCACTTGGGCTTTGCATCACTGGGGGCAAATGCGACTCAGACACGTGTCCACATATTTTTGAAATTGAAATACTGTCCAATGTAATCCTGAGAGGGTCCCCATATTCTTCTTCTAGTAGAACTAACAAGTTTCCTGTAGGTTTCAGGAAGGGTCGCGGTATGTTGTACCTGGAAAAGAACAGTTTGCGCTTAAGCTAAAGAGTTATTGACAAAGCAGGAACTGATCTTAGGTTTTGTCTATTAGTAGTTACTACAGAAACTTTTACCATGTTTGTGAAGGCCTAAGCTCAGGTGTGTGAAGTGAGACCCAATATCGGCCAATGCTTCGGCCATTAACCCAAACTTCACCCTTTCCCATGGAGCCAAGGTTCAGTGCAAGCGGATCATTTCCTGCAGGTGCATCAAATAGAGTCTGCCAAACGAAAATGGAAATGAAAATCAGGCCATAGATCCCATTGATGACGTATTTTACTGGCATAAGAATAACGTTCTCACCTTATACCATGTCAGTCGATGATGAATGCCAAGAAACCTATCCCATTGAACTTTATTCGATCCATGTTCTGTAAAAATTCTCGAACTTTCTCCTGACAACCCAACCTTGAAGAAAAAATTTCAACACCATAGCACAATTTAGGAAACTTTTTTGCTATTACAGTCTGTCTTTCAGGCTTTAACAAATAATAAACAGACGTAGCATGAAAATCAGGCTTAGGAAAATCATCACCTGGTATCCCCATTGATAGTTATTGAGATCCTTGTTCTGAATCGTCACGCTTCGTATGCCTGCAGTCTTGTGCTCAAGGTATGCTCCTGAATCCTTTACATTTCAATTGAAAATATTCGTCAGCTCCAACGTAGATGATAGATTAATTGATGGATCACACAAAACCAAAACTATTTAGTAACTAGAGAGTAGTGACAATGACATGACCACAAGAACGTTTATGGCATGTTCGGCTCTCTTTCACGTATATATTCCCATGATTTAATGCTCAAGTTACATCCTTTAATAATGCATCAAAGTTATTAGAAATAAAATATACAATGTGGAGAGAGAGAGATTGGGATTTACAGTACCGGAAATCCAACCATAACGCTAAGTAAGGAGATATTGTTTGTTCCATTATTCAAGCGAACTGTGTTAATCAGTTTGAAATTCTTCTTCCCACCGAATGCATACCCTAAAGAACAAAAACGAAAAAACATGTGAGGTACAGAGCGATTTCGAGGAGATAAGTAGAAACAAATAGTATAACATGTGGATTGGGTTTGTTGCTTTCTTCCTGATATGACAAATCTGAAATATTGATAGCAGAAATGCGGCATCTATACATGTTCCTATTTAAATGTCAAAATCTTAAGCTAATGGTGTTAATGTTACATAAATACATAGTAAAAGCCATATGATCAGATTGGTGATTTTAGTTTATCAACCATCAAAAATAGGTTAAAAGATGAACAAGTTCACCTGTGTACCCTCCATTGACAAATGAATGTAAAACATGGGCATCGGATGTCACAGAAAGTACAGCTTGGGCATCAGAGTCATGCTGAAAGCTGCATTTGCATGGTGAAATGAAAAGCATTTTCAGGATCTAATACGGTTCAAACAAGTTCAACCTGCAACGGTTTGCATCCAAGTTATGGTTACCTGAGAGTGTACCAAAGGTAATCAGATGTATCTTTCGTTGTACTCATATGATCTAGTAAATTTTTGGCTCTTAACTTAGTCTTTGAAAAGGAAGGGATAGGCTCTTTGTACTCTTCCCATCTTCCAGTCGAATCAAACTTGTGCCTTACTGTCATTGATCTTGTATTGTACTGTGTGCTTACCTGTTAAATACAAGCAAGCTGAGATGATTTTCTTGCAGCAAAGTTAAGCAACCACAGAAGAAAGGAAAGAATGCGGATTTGTGTCTTACTTTTGCAGTATTGAAGGCTACGTTCTTGCAGTCTGGCAGAATGCTTATCGACATTGGAGGCAATTCAAATGAAACATTTTGGAAACGAACTCTAGCATTGGTGGTGTTGTCACTGTTTACCAGAAATGCAGCACAGTCTCCTGATGATTTTCCTTTAAAGACATAAGCCTTGACATAACAGATAAAACACAATTTCAATTGAAGTTTGAAGGCATATATTTTTGTCTGCAGAGATTAAACAGACACAAAATTTTGCTTCTCGCTAAGAATTGTTCTCACATCTTGAAGTTTACCCAAGGAGTAAGTTTCATATGCTCCAGAAAGCAGAGGCTTTGTGCATAACCTTATTGCAGCATGCAATTCCTTAAGGTGACCCCATAAAGGTTGCCTAATCAAACCTGAACCCATCAACTAAACAATGTTAACTTTGTTTGAAAGTTTAAAATCATTCCATAAACACAAAATACTTATAGACGCCAGGATACCAAATTCATCAAGAGGTGCTTGATCATAGTAACTTGTAATTATGTATGCAGCAGCTGTTCTTCCGAAATTGGTTCCTCCATGATACTGTTAACAAAACTTTATATTGTTGGAAAAGAAATAGTGGTACTATGCATGTATAGTATGGAGCATATGTCCTCTGTGTACATAAAAAAATTATATATATATATATATATCTGATGACGATTATAAGGTAGTAGGAAGAGAGGTTGGTCATACCATATAGTAATTTACATAGCTTCCATTCTTGGCAATGAACAAGGCAACATGAAATGCAATATCTGTGGCTGATCGCAGGAATACCTCTTGACCATACCTTTGCAAGCTTCAAAAGAAAAAACGAAGAAATTGGTTTCTTCAGCCTTTCAAATTTCAAGATTAATTAAAGTGCCTGTGCTTGTCATACATACAAACTCGTCCAGTTTTCAGTCCACATGGAAGGCTTGTTAGGTGAGTTGGGTCCTTCGAATTTTACTCCACATTGAAACCCGTTGCATGCATTGATCTGCAAATGCCAAACATTAGACCATGTACTATATAATGCTATGGATATAGTAAAAATTTTGACATGGGGGATAAATAATTATTCCATCGAAATGATTGAGCTATAGCCGTAGCTCAACCTTCTGATTCTTTGGATCAAACCTCGACCAGTAAATCTAGAAATGTTCGGCACAGGTCCACCTTTTTCCAGGATTCATTTTCCATCTTATTAAGTTCTTATCAGCCTTTTAATCATTTTTTAAAACCAGGTATGGTATTTTTTTTTTTTTTGCTCAGCAGGTACAGTGTTTGCTAATGGTGACGATAGTAAATAGGATCAATGGTAACAATTTAATGGTGACAATGGCTAGCTACTGCCCTTGCTTGTCAACTGTTGTCACCAGATAATCATAGGTGGCAATTACATAAATATATAATCGTCAACATCAGTCAGCCGCAAAACATGGAGATAAATCCCCATTAATTAAGAGTGTAAGAGAAGGAAGAACTAACCACAGGGTCAGGGGCATCTTGCTGGCTGCACATTATCCAGGGCACGCCGGTTTTAAGTCCCACGGCCATGCCTGCCGCCCAGCGAACATAACGTGACCCTTTCTCATCAGGGAAGGCTGATTCTATCCTTTGGTACTCGTTCTCAATCTGAAATGATGCGCATACCAACTTTATACCCCATGCAAATTGCAAAGATGAGATAATAATATTGAGTTTTTCTATTAGGAAATCAAACCTGTGATAGTATGATTGGCCCTCCTTGCGACGCATATAATCTCTCCGATTTCATCATGTTTACCACCTTTGTCACCCACTTTTGCATGTGATACTGTCGTTAATCAGGCAAACATTGTGTTAGTAGCCTATCATTGAATATTTTTATCCGTTGTTTAAATTGAATAAATTCTATTTATGGTTTTTAATTTTTATCTAAAATATTAAAAGAATGTTCACGTGACGTATTACTTAATTTACAATATAAACATTATGTCAATTTTAACAAAATAATTTTTGAAAAACAAAATATAAATTTTTTTTAAACATTAAAAATCTAAATGAGATGATTTAAAGGTTAAGAATTAAAGAAAAAATTATAGAACTTAAGTAAAATTTACCAGTCTAAATTAGCAAATATAAAGTAATAGATCAACTTTTTTTTTTTAAATCTTCTCAAGATTTAATCAAGTTTAGCTACCTTGAAGGGTCCATTGTCAGATCGAAAAACAATCCCAGGGACATCATGCAACCAAAAAGGCAGACCCCTGCACCACCGACAAAGTCATTCTTAATTAATTAAACTAGGTTTGCAGTGAAGAAGAAGGAATAGGATGGCGCGCAATGGCAACGATTTTTACCCGTAAGTCCATTCACTCTCAATGAAGGGTCCAATTCTAAGGCAAGCATACAGGCCATGGGCTTGGACATCCCTTAAGAACCTTACTATATCACGCCTTCCACTAAAATCATACTGCGAAAATTATTTTTATAAGCTTGAAATAAATCAAAAAAATGGAATCATTTCATTATTTAAACTAAATCAAATACATTATTGTTCTGATAATATATATTAGAAAAATGGGAAGGAGGCAGAATAGAGATTTGAAGGTGAGTCACCTGTCCTTGTTGGGACTCATGGAGGTTCCAAAACACATAAGTTTGAATCACATCAATCCCTCCTTGCTTTGCTTTGGCTATAAGTGATGGCCACATCTGCAATTAGTATAACCTCTTTAGCCAACCTTTATTTGATGATAACAAATTCAGCTCTCAAAATATTACATGTTATTCTTTTTTATGTATTTTTAAATTACATTTTCTATTAGTAAACGGTATTCAAAAGTTAGCTTGGATTATTATATACCAATTCATTGGACTAAATTAATTCTATCAGGTGTTTAATGTATAAATTATATATATATATATATATATATAAAGAAAAGGAGAAAAGGTTTCCAAATTTGGAACGTCTTTCTTTCCTTTTTACGTTGGGATTGCCCCAACCACCAAGTAATTGAGGAGCAACAAACTACATTTATATATGCATGAGATGGGGATGGGGATGGGGATGGTTGGTTAGGAGAATTTGTCTTATATTGCAAAAAGAAGTAACAGCTCAGTTAGATTACAAGCAATCAAAATAAAGAAACATGCATTGTGTCCTTCACAATTGTTATATGAAATGCTAAATTAATACCAAAAACAGTAAAAAACTATGTTGAACTTCCATGCTTTTCGAGCCCTTTGAAGTAATTAGATGGGTAGAACTTACCTTTCACGTTTTGAGTAGCAAACCAGGATTACGATCATCATTAATTATTACTCAAATATATATTTTAAATGAAGAACATCTCAATCATCTTAATATATAGCCTCCACTTTGAAGAGAAAGCTGGATGATTCTGTTAGCTACGGAAAGGGATTAAGCTATACGTAGAGATATAGTACCACACGTCAAGCTCCATGATTTTCTCAACAAATTCCATTAGAAAAAATCTTTTGCTTACCAATCTTTCTAAGATGGTTTTGCATGAAACGATAGCCAATAAGGCACACAGATTTCTCCTTAGTTTCTCAACTTAACAATATATGAAAATATATAGCTTCAAAAACATAAAAGGGTTGCTGCTTGTATATATACCTCGGGAGTGCTACGAGGGTAGTGGATTGAACCAGAGAAGAGAACTTTATGTTGTCCATCGATGATCAATGATCTTCCATCATATGTTACATTTCTTCCATGACAGCAGCCAAAAGCAGCCGCTGCTGCCAGAAAAACCAACCAAAACAACCCTAACATCTCAACAAAACTACTAGTGATGAACTTGCTGGAAAGGAGAGCGTCTGTTTCTTGCTGCTCTTTGTCAACTTCTCCTTCTATCTTAACTGATATATATACACTCGGGAGGATTTTATGGATATGCTCTACCCTTTCCTTTTCTTCTTAGGAAAGAAATATGACAATGTCTAATTATATCAAACCTATTTTTGTTAATTTGTAGTCTTTCACCTTTTTTTAATTATTTTTCTCTATTAATATATAGGTATAAATGGTGGAATTATATCATTGGTACTGGTTTTTGACAAGTGGCACTGTTATTATTAGGGTGGAAAACAATTTCTTTTATTGACAGTATTCCATTTTGTACATTTAATGTAAAAAATAAAGTAGCTGATGGTGATGACTGTATCACTAACTAATTATCTTATCTTGTAATTTCATCTATTATATATCCTTAGATGTTATTCTATGTTATTTAATTAATGAAAAGTTAGTATTGTTTTTGGGTGTGTCATATTACAACATTTAAGGAGGGGAATTAACTGATATTGTTATTGCATTAATTCTGTCATTTTCCATTATTAAAGTTTTTAGGACATGCAAAAAGGCACGAAAGGTGCCCAATCTCATATTTTTAGTTCAATAAAAAAAAATAAACATCAGTAACTTGAATTATTTTTAATTATGAATTGTAACACTACACATTCTAATAATCACTTTACCTGTGTGCATATATATATATTAGAATAAAATGAAATAAAAAAATCTTGCATAATAAATATAATTGATAAAAATGTCTCAATATGTCATCTGTTTATCAAAATGTGAAAACAGAAAAAGATGTATATATTTTTTTAAAAAAAAATTCAGTGTATATTCAAAATAGAGAGAACCAATAGTAAAACATGTATATATTATTGATGGCATATATTTCTATACTTAGTCTTAGTCACATACATTGACACATAAAAACAATGCATATTCTTAAAAGGGACCTATGTTTAAAGATGATTTTAAAATTTCATAGTAATTTATATAGTATAAAGTTTTAATCCTTGTTTGGTTAACCTGGGTTTTGGCCCATTGGCGAAAGGGTGTGGCAAAATACTGCAAAATCCAAGGATTTTCCTTTCAAGCAAAGGCATAAAAAGAAATATCTCATTGATTTTAAAATTAAAAACCCGAAAAAAAAAAATTATTAAAGTAATTTTAAAATCTTGGAATGTTGCTGATCCTTCTCTGCATAAAGGAATTAATTAAATTTCAAAAAAATGTGATTGAAAAAGATTAAGATTTTAGATGATTTTCAAAATATATATATATATTAGACGATTTTATTCAATCTGACAAAGAAACCACTGGATAAACCCAAAATCCCACAAAAATCTTAACCATTTTTTCTCTTTCTGTTGTAAAGAATTCATTATAGGAATACTGTTTAGATTTCATCCATTCAAAAATGGCATGACATGTACAAGATGAATATCTTTTATTTTGCTTTCTTTTTCCTTCTTTTGTTCATAGCAATATATTTCGATTTACAGCCCACGTTCAATGAGATTTACATATATGCTTTATAGCTTTAATATTGACTAACAGGCAAAAAAATCTAAAAGGGTGAACCGGTTTCATATTGAATCAATTTTTCAATCTTTAAAATGCCAAAAATTAAGCTATACAAATTGTTCACTCTCATGTGCACTGTGCATCAACCAACAGGGTTTTTGGTATGCCTGGACATGGATCATCACCAAATTTTTGGCTCCAAACAGGGATGGAACAAATCCTCTTCCCTAGACAAGCCTGTCAATTTACATTGCAAGAAAAACCAGAGTCAATATATATATATATATATATATATATATATATA